CATAACAACATCATATATCTCATATGACATATTTTCATCTCATGCATCAAAGTATATAAATCACGTAAATTCACATAATACATGCAATTATAATTTAAATTAATTAATGGTGACGAGTCTACCTCAAATTATCTCAAGTCTCGTAAAAAGTGGAGCGGGATGTAACCTCAATCTCCTAATTGTCCGTACGTTTCGTCCAGCAAAAATAGAAAATAGGTTTTGAATTAGTATTCCGAAATTTAAAGTTTTAAAGTAATAAAATAAAGTTTAAGGACCTAATTGGGTATTTATTAAAATTGAATTTGACAAATCTAGGGGCTGAAAATAATATTTTCAAAGTAATAGGGCTAAATGTCGTAAATGAGAACTCTAGGGACTTAATTGAAAACTATTGAAACTGAAAATAAAAGTTTAAGGGCTGAAATTGAACTTTTAGGAATTATTGAAACTGAAAATAAAAGTTTATTGACTGAAATAAACTTTTGCAGAAACTAAGGACCGAAGTTAAACTTTTCTAAAATAGGGACTCAATTGGAAATAGAGTGAAACTGAAAATAAGAATTCAAGGACTGAAATTAAACACTTAAAAACTTAGGGGCTTAGGGCTAAATTTCCAAAATCAATTTTAAAAAATACATATTACAGAGACACACACACACACACACACACACTCTCTCTCTCTCTCTAACATTCGATTAAAACGAGCAGAGAGAGAGAGAGCGGTGACGGAAGGGGGCGAAATCCATTCAATTACTAGTCAGACGGTCGGCGATGGCGCCACCATCGTGTAGTGGCGTCGGTGTTGGGAGTGGAGGATTTGGGCGCACGGTCAAAGGCAACCGAGGCGAAAGAGGCTCGAGTTCTTGGGGTTTTCAGCTGGAAATGGGTCATAGACGAAGGTAAGTGTATGGGTTTTCTATTCTCTTGGTTTTTAATGGTTGTTTTGTGTTGATTTTTGAGGTATAGGTGTGGCAGTTTCGATGTCGATTTTAGGTCGGTAGTAGGGGTTGTCGATTTTTATCAACTACGATTTCGGTGTTGGGGAAGTGTGGTGCTGTGCAGCTCGTGTGTTTGTGAAGATTGGGTGAAGCAGTGGGTTTTCAGCTGGGATTTGCAGTCGGTTGGCTGGGGGTGATTGGGTTTTGGTTGGATTGAGATTTGGATGTTGATGCTAGAAATTGATTTTCTAGCATCACATGCGAATCTTAAATTGTGTGGATGTTAGAAATTGATTTTCTAGCATCAATTGTGAATTTCCAAAATTGAGGAAGATGATGATTTACTTACCAATTTTGTTAGCTACGTGAGGTGTGAGGAGAGTGAGAAAATGAGCTGATCTATGAACCATAACTTAGGGCACAGATTTCTAGGAGTCTAAATGGGCCAAGAATTTGGGCCGTAAGAATTTTCATAATTGGGTCTAAGTGAAATTGGACCTAAACATCCAAAACTTAGACTAATAAGTAATTGGACTTTAAAATGATAAGGGATTGGATACTTTAAAATTATTCGAAATTCGACTTGACTTGAATGGATTAAAATTGATTTTATAACGGCTAGATGAACACGCTTTCATTTTAAAATTCGGGGTTAAAACTTAACGACACGTTTTTCAAGATAATAATTTAAAATTCTCGGTCGCTACAGACATTGTGATTTCTTGTAAGAATTTTTGTTGAGAAAGATGAGGATTTAGGAGAATGTGGGAAGTCGTGTGGAGTATTGTGTTTGAATGAAGAGTGTGGAGGGTTTCTTTTAGAAGGAAATGTGGTGATGGAGAGAGTGAGTAGGACAGTGTAGACGTCTTTGTATCAAAGACCATCCCATTTTTGAGCTCCTTTAGAAAATCTTCCTTTTGGAATGGGGATTTTGTAATTTGAATAATGGCATCTATTACTTGTCTTTGTAATATTTAATGTCAGTTTTGTGTTAGCAACATAATATTTATTTTAAAATTACTTTTTGTACTTAAATAAACTTTACTTGTACTATAAAATTTTAAGGTTAGTCTTATTTTCAGTATTATTTAATTAGATATTAATAAATCTCCGTCATACGTTTGTTGATTGTCGACGGTCAATGGTCAACGTCTGTCCTGACAAAATTTTTGTGTTGGGTCCACCACTGCATACATAACAAGACAATTTTTCAATTCACTTAGACTAGACACTGTGTAAGAATCTATACTATATTGGTACGTTTTCAAGAAAATTTATAATTAAATTTCTACATTTTTCTTATACAGCCATGTCACTTCCCTTTTCCACAAAACATATAGCCAAATACTACATTCACGTGCACGTGCAAAAATATATCCGTAAACACTTGAAAATACGTTCGAGCATGTCTACAAAAATATTATAAGAAAATAAAAAGATAAGATATATAGAAAGTTACATCGAACGAATTTTAATACAAAAAATAAAAATAAAATTACAATCTTTTCTTTTTCGATCAAGTACATAAATGGTTAAGTATGATTGAATTTGAAAGTTGATAGCCATGCAACAAGAAACAGAAAATGAAAATTCATTCGGCAATGATTCAATTAATGAGATAAGTTCACTTCAAATCCAGACAAATAGACCAATAATTCTCGACTCTATGCTGTATCGAGAAAACAATTATATATTAAAGAACTCTTAAGCCATTCGAAAGGGTATGCAAATATGAGTTTAATATACTTTATGTCTTTATCTTTCTTCAACGTCGAACAAGGGATTGATGTACCAAATTAACTGCATCCGAAACAAAACAAGCACATAAAACAGGTAGACATCTCAAATATTTGTTTTGCTTAAAAGAGATGATTGATTGAGTAATTTTTCCTTGTTATTCTCATAAAGGTTGTGTCTAACTATATAAATAAGTGCTTGTTTGGTATAGCTTTTGTTTATTAAAAAGATTGTCATAATCTATTTTAACCACATATTCATTAGATCACAATTATTATTCATTTCTTCACCGTACATTTTATGGAACTCACCAACTTTCATCTACTTTTAGTAACATCGCACAATCTCTGAATCGTGTATTTTATGAATTGATGAACACTTCATAAAAGTTTAATTAAGTTGTTCAAGGGGTATATAATAGTAAAGGCCTGTTTGGTACGGCTCAAAATCCAATTAATTAACTTTTATATCAGCAATAACCCAGAGTGAGTAGATTATTTTCAATTGTTATTGTCGATTAAAAAGTTAAAATTAGGTTAAAATTAGAGATGGTTTGTGGGAGATTCATTTTTAAAACCCAAATGCACATTTTATAAAATAATACACTTACACACCAATTTTTACTCATACATCTTTTTTTCTCATTTGAAAGAATGAAAAATAAATAGGGACATAATTAGTTTTTAGAACAAAGGTGTGATGCGTGATTTTTTTTAAAAATAAAAGTGACAATTAAATTTAAATTTGAAATCTCGTCCTCTCTAAATGGTTGTATACATTGTGGTACTTCGAATAAAGTTAAATTTAAAATTAAATGGCATTCACCTAAAGGCCTTCTGACTTACAATTTACATTAAGAACTTACAAATCAAATATATTTTAAACATATAGATTGATATTCACAACATTAATAATTCCAATTTTTCTAAAGGAAAGATCAGAAATCAAAGATATTTGTTCTCATTAAAATTATAATACATTTTTCTCTTTTCTTTTTAACCACACATTTTTCAATAAAATAATATTATACGTAAATTGAAAAAATTTGTTCTTTTTCAATCACTCATTCTCTCAAAAAATATTATTCCAAAAATTATAATACTAAATAATGGAGGGGAGACGGGTTATATATATAAAATGGCCTTCCACGTCTCCAAGAAAACCCTGGAGAGAAGAGAACCAAATTGAGCAATTATGGCAGGCGAAGAAAACTCTCCAGGAAGCTCCATGCATGGAGTCACAGGCAAAGAACAAACATTTGCTTTTTCTGTGGCTTCTGATCCAACAATTCCCACTGATTCAACAGCAAAATTTGACTTACCAGTTGATTCAGAGCACAAATCCAAAGTTTTCAAAATCTTCTCTTTTGCTAATCCACACATGCGAACTTTCCATCTCTCTTGGATTTCATTTTTCACCTGTTTTGTCTCCACTTTTGCAGCTGCACCCCTTGTTCCGATTATCAGGGACAATCTTAACTTGACGAAAACTGATATAGGAAATGCTGGCATCGCCTCAGTTTCCGGCAGCATTTTCTCCAGGCTTGTTATGGGTGCAGCCTGTGATCTGTTAGGACCAAGATATGCTTGTGCATTTCTTATTATGCTGTCGGCCCCGACAGTTTTTTGCATGCC